AATTATAAATATACATATATATAATTATAAATATATATAATTATAATATATACATACATTACATATTTATAATAAAATATACAAAATTATCAAAAGTTCGCATATTAAATAAAACAGATTAAATAAAAATTATACAATTTTTAATCGATATCTGATAAATGTATATACAATAATTTGAGCAAACAGTTACATTAAAAACGTATTAGAAATAAAAGTAATATTGTTTTTATATTAAATTGTATTATTTCAAATATTAATAATAACTTTTATAAATAACGTTATCTAATAATAAATAATAAAAGAAATTTGCAGAAAAATAAATTCATGTGTGTTCTGTCTTATTCTATATTAAATTGAAATATTTTGCTTAGCACGCGAATATAGGATGTAGCGAAAGTGCGAAAGTTATTTTGTAATCATATTTTTCCTGTTTTAAATGTATTTTTTCATAATTAATTCATCATTAATAAATCAGGATTAAAATTAAAACTAGTAAATTACTACATCGTATACAGATTATATTGAGAAATGAGTAATATATATATATGAAAAGAAAAAGAATTGAACTTATAATATTAATAACAAAAACTAAAATAAAATAAAACAAAAAATAAAATAAAGAAATGGATTAAGTAAGAGATGTCAAAATAATAGAATAAAAAACATATGATAAATAAAATAAAACGGAATTAAATTAAATTAAATGACATAACATAAAAATAATTGTACATTCCTTCCACAATAGTTAAAATACTTAACAAAAATAATAATGATCATCGAAATGTAAGTCACTCACGTTCCAAATGGTATCATTTAATCTCAAGCTGCATAAATAGGATATATTTACGTTTAAAATTCTTACAATGTTATATTTATAATAATTTTAAATAATATTTTTAAATATGTTACATCATATTTTTTAAATATTAATATATAACTATAAACTATTATTTTATTTTATCTTTCCGATAGATATACTTGATTTATTATATATAATAGTTAAATAGTTCAATCAATTGTTGAATTAAAGAAATATAGTTTTATTTAATATATTTATTTAAAGATATTGAAGTATGTATGTAAATTTAGTAAAAAAAGTACTCACCACAGTGAATGAAAATTTTGATGTCCTACAATGCCCAGGTATATTTTTTGTACTTTAGATGAAGAAAAGACGTTCTGACCTGATCGCAACGCTGTTTGAAGCGATTCTGAGACGTTAGATCTTGAGTAGATTCGTTCGAAGTGCCTTGGTTCCACCATACACATATTATCAAAACTTGAAAGGTCACACATGATAACATGGAGAGAAACCTATAGGGTTCTCTTATAAACAGATTCGGCATGATGAAATATGTATTTATTATCTTAATTAGTTATTCTTTATCTTACGCAAACGAAAATCTCAGTCAAATATACAAAAATTTTGTAAACATAAAATAGCAAAAATCAGAACAAAAATACATAAACAAGATCGAAATAGTCATAACTCTTAAAAATATTCATAAAATAAGAATTTATAATAAAATAAAAAATAAATAAATAACATAATCAAAATTTTTGTTTGATAATGATAAGAGAAGCCAGAGATAATTTTGTCCTATTTAATAATAGTTCTGATATGATTAAATAATGTTCAATCACATCGAATAATCGTGAACGAATTATCAAAAAAAAATAAAATAACGAAATAAGTAATTCTCGTAAATTATCCTAAAAAATTAAAATTATTTCGTCGGATAATCAAGATCTTTAAAGTGATACGCTACTGCTCGGTATAAACAAAAACCGATCTGAGGCACGGCAGTGCTATATTGCTGTGGCAGTGAAAGTTGAGGGTTGAGGAGTTTTTTTTCGTATTCCTGGCAAACCGAAGGGTTTTAAGATAGGCAAAGTTTTAAAGTCTTGTCTTAAGAAACATGCCACGATGCTTGATAAAATCGATGGCACGGTATCAGCGGACCGACAGTTCAAATGAAGGTATTTTTACTCTTGCGCATATTTTTCTGCATTCACTAAGATTAGATACGAAGGACAAATGCAGAAGGAACTAATGCATAACAAATTTTATCTGTTGAAATGTTCTGACATGTACTTGCCACGTGCTTCCGTATCAACATTATTGAAGTCTCTCTACGATCGTTACTTCAACCTTGACTATTGTCATGATAATAAACAGCCTTGATAATCATGCCGTGTGTCTCCTATTTTCACGTGATCCTTTTGAGTTTTAAAATCAATTTGAATAGAGATTATTCGTTGAAAATCATACCGAAAGATTCTGTATGAATCAACAGAACTCTCTAAGTATAATTTATTTTGTTTTCTTTTTTTAATAATTTATAAGAAAGCAAGCTCAATTTTTCTCGTTAGAGGTAAGAAAGATATACTCTAAAAGTTTGAGAATAATTAGTAGTTATTGATAAGTGAAATTTTAATTTTACATGGAATGTGTATGTGCGAATTTCCATCAAGCTCTCTCCGATTCGCTTATTTGTCGTGGAATTACTTTCTACCATGTTCAGAGTGACGATAAATCTTTCAGAGATGCTTTAAATCTCGACGATTCCGATAGTAAATATCGTGCCTGCTTTGAATGACGGAAAATCGATTTTTGCAGAGACCGAATTTCCATGGCTGCCACCAACTGTGGACCTCAAGCGAAAAAATCATACAAAGGATGTGACATCTAAGACGAGCAATATCTGGGCTTGTTCCGGACTCCCCATTGTAACTCGTTACAGCTTTCATAAGAGCAGCGGTGCGACATTCAACACAGAGTTCAATTCATCTGGTGGAAATTTTGGGAACGTGCAAGATGCTTCGTCGATCAGCGAGCATGCGATCGATGCTGATAAAGTGTCAGCGATATTCCTCGATGGGATGTCACCAGTCTCCTCCAAATCGCAAGAATCTTCAGGACTGATAGCGCAAACGATAGATATGGAAAAGGTCATTGGAACAAAGGTCATGATCAACGATTGCGAAACGCAAACGCTCTCACAGGCTTTATATTTGCTACCAAAACAGAAGCGAGAGCCGGTAAACGCTGCCGAGGGTAAGGCGACGTCTACCCGGGGAGGCACTCAGCATTGGAAGAGAAACAAAACGATGCATTACTGTCCATATTGTCGTAAAAGCTTTGATCGGCCGTGGGTGTTGAAGGGTCATTTACGTCTGCATACAGGCGAGAGACCCTTTGAATGCCCAGTTTGTCACAAGTCCTTTGCTGATCGGTATGTAAGAGAGAATTCCCTTAAATACAAAAACATTTCAAACTATATTCCACCAATGAGAAAACAGACAAAATCCAAATTGATTTCATCTCAGAGAGAAAAAGCAAAAATTTGATTTAAATTAAAAAAGAAAAATATAAAATATCTGCGAAGCGATCATCTTTGAGACAGAATGAAGGGAAGAACAACAATTCTGCTGTTCGTTTTTCTTCGTTCATTTTATTCATTTTATTATTCATTTTATTATTCGATTTTTTTCTATTTGTATTGGATTCTATTATAATTATATTATTGAGATACCATTTCTGCGCGTTTAATTAAGTATTCTCGAATTGTTCCAGTTCAAATCTTCGCGCACATCAAAGGACACGTAATCATCATCAGTGGCAATGGCGTTGCGGCGTTTGCTTCAAAGCTTTCTCGCAAAGACGCTATTTGGAACGCCACTGTCCGGAAGCTTGCCGCAAGTACCGGATATCCCAGAAGAAGGAGCCGATTTGTCCATGAATGTGCAGGAAGAAACGGTGAAATGAGGAATATCAATAATGTGTGTTGTACCAATGTAAAAACAATATATCACTTCACAGCTATATTCTGACACGTGCGACGTGTATTACGCCGTTCATATTTCAATAAAAATTCGATAAAAGTTTTTCCATCAACATTCTATTCTCTGTCAGCTGTGCGGCAACATCATTATGATTAGATGCATAGTATGAATTTGAATCTAATACAAAATTAACGCTGAAACTGTATCCATATTGATTTCTATGAAATGTTCGATTATTAGACAGTATTTCTAGACTGAGAGTCAGTTCTTATACTTAAGACTCTTAAATATGCATGCTTAAGATTTTATAAATCAATTATAAAGGCTACATTAGCATCTTAAAATAGTATCTAATTGTGAGACGTCTGATCTTGAAATAAGAATGGACTATGAATAATACTCATAGTTCAATTTTAACATTTTTAAACGCTGGACGCATATTTGATTGATTGGATGTAATTTTAAGAGATAATTCTCATTTAAAATGAATTTATTATTAAATTATTTAAATTTTATAGTTTAATATAAAATCATCTAAGATTGAAATCATTATTAGGATTATTATATCATATAAAATTATTATGTCATATGTTATTATTATGTGTTATAATTTTTCTTTTAATGAAAATTAGATTTCAGAAAAAACGTGATGTTTTAAAGCATTATATTATTTTGAAAACATTTTCTAGACAAGTATATTGTTTGAAACTCATCTATTATAAAAAAATATTATATTCGTTTTTTATCTTTTGTTTTACAAATTTAATACCCTTAAAAAATGTTTCTATATATTAATATATATAGAATACATCCATCATCAATTGTATACATTATATATTAATACACGCACGCATTATATATATATATATATATATAAAATCATTAAC